AAACTATAGCGAATAAACTGTGATAATACATATATATATTAGGGATGCACCGATACCGCTTTTTCAAGTACTCGCCCGATACGATACCTTTATTTTTGGTACTTGCCGATACCGAGTACCGATACCGATATTTTTATTGTATTTGTAAATTTTTTAAATATTGGGTACAGAAACCAATATATATATATTATTATTATATTTATATATTTTTTTTAAAGATGTTAATATGACACATATGATATTATTGTAAATAATCCAGTGACTAACAATCTGGTTGACACTCCCAACATAGTGGGCAGAGCTAGTGTGTAGCTGTCACATAAAATCATGTCTGAGGCGATGACAGGCAAAAACCAGACATTCTACCCACACCCCAAAAATGTCAGCTCGCAAATGTGGGAGTTTTTTTGGATTCTGTAATAAAAGTTGAGGTGTTAGAAACCCCAGTCTGCAGAAAGTGCTTATCAACAGTAATTTTGAAAACACTTCAACTGAAGCCTTTATGTATAACACACTTTAAGGGTACTCATAATGTATGTTGCCATGCATTAAATTTTTTCATAAATAATTGTAAGGTAACATTTTACCAGAGGTAAAACGCATTATATTATTATTTCTATTATTGTTGTAACATTTGAAATAGGTTGTTTGTCATATTTTAATAAAATATACTTTCTAAAGGTAAACAATGAATATTTAATTATTACAATGTAATATATCTGTGGTTATATAATATATGTGTGTACTATAAGATATATCACAAGGCATAACAAACGCATATAAAAAATTAATACTTTTATAATGCATAATATAAAAAGGCTTCAAGTTCTTTTTGAAAAATTTTGTAAAAAATGTTAAAGATGAATCTGACTGACATCATTATTTATATAGTACTGTCAAATGATTAATCGCAATTAATCGGATCCAAAATAAACGTTTTTATTTACATAATATGTCTGTGTACTGTGTATATTTATTATGTATATATAAATACACACACATACAGTATATATTTTGAAAATATTTACATATATATTTATATTCTTATATTTTATATTATATATAAATATATTTAATATGTAAACAGCATATTTTTCTTAAATATATACACGCATGTGTTTCTATTCATATATACATAATAAATATACACAGTATACACACATATATTATGTAAACAAACACTTTTATTTTGGATGCGAATAATCGCAATTAATCGTTTGAAAGCACTATTTATTCATTTAATTTCTACATTTCTAATTTCTAAATTACAATAATCTCTTATTGTGTTATTAATTTGGGCCTCAATAATAGTGTAGTGAAAATCCGTCAAAAAGATTTATGCGAAGTGTGAAGTATATGGTTGTTTACAGTGTAACCTCAATTATACTGTGAAACAAATTACTATTTACAATGTAACATCAATTCATATTACTTGCATAACTGAAAATAGATGCAAAAATGCTTTTACACCGTTAAATGTGTCGTAATTCATGTCAGACCACCTACAAATATGTTTTCAGTGATTCGATCACGACCCAATCATAATGCCTCATGGGTGCATTTATGTCTGGCTTTTAATGTTATATTATGACAGTAAATGAATATTAATTCCAGGCGTAATTAGGGCAATGGGCCTCTCTTAATCAAAGACACTTTTAACTAAAATTCCATTTGACACTGTGTCAACTTAGTTTTTAGTCAGCAGCACTGAGTCGACATAGATCTTCATTTGATTGTAAGCGTCTCTATGTTTGTGTGAGTGTATGTGGGGGTGTGCACATGTGGGTGAGAGTGTATTTGAGTGCATCTGTGTGTATGTGATGGATAGAACTGTGAGCGAAAATAGAGTCCAATACTGCAGGTCTCTAATCTTGAAAAGGTATATAAATATAAACCTAAGGGGGAGAAAAATGGCCTTCCAACCTCTCGCATACATAGGTATATATGCACACCTTTCTAGACTTTAAAACTGGACCGCTCATGTACAGTGTGAGGAGTACACAGATGTGACAGTAGGTCAGAGGGCAGAGCACTGTGTGAGTGTATTCAAGATACAGTCAAACACAAGACATTCGGATTGTCTCTGTCTGATAAGTGCTGACCCATAAACAGTAAGACTCAATGACTGCAGTATTTACACAAAGGCAACACATACACACGCATTGTATTGCATAACAGACCGTTGTTATGGAATAATCTTGTAAGGCACTGACACATGTTTTGTCACTGGGTGAACTGAAAATCCCACAAAATCTGCAACAAAGCTGCAGTTCAAGAGTATAAATATGCCTTACTGTGTGTTCACATCGCCACCGTTGAGGGCGTCAAAAATCTGGCCGCCCTGCCAACAACGCTGTAGAAAGATTTGTGGACGCTCTGACGTAGATCGAATGCTTATCTTGTATTTAAAGGGGTCGCAAAGCAAACATGCCGCAACAACTAAAGGCTGTCTACGCTGGACATGACAAAGTGACCAATGCAAATCCATTTGTCCTTTGTGTCAGAAGTAGCAAGAGCGCTTAGAGTATGTCAGAAATAGAAATGGGCCATCAGCTTACTGTCGGGGATTCGTCCTGTTGCCCCGCATCCAATTTAGATTGGCTTTAATTGCATCACGTTGCACTGCTCAAGCCCAGAATAGACACAGTGAAAGTGAAACAATTGCAGGTGTTTTTTAATTTAGAGTTTAAAACATTTTTTTAAAGGGGAGGCATGAGCATAAACGTTCGAGAACTACTGCCTTAGGGAATTTGAATCTGTGTATCATTCATTCACTTGATTTAGAATTGTTGGTCTATACAGGAAAAGGCCCTGTCTAGGCTCTGCTCCAGTATTAAATATTAATATTATATATTATTAAAGGGGTTATATGACGCGATTTCAAGCTTTCTTTTCTCTTTGGAGTGTTACAAGCTGTTCATGCATAGATAAGACCTGTAAAGTCAAAAAGATTAAAGTCTCAAATCCAAAGAGATATTCTTTATAAAAGTTAAGACTCAACCACGCCTTCCTAAAACGTCTCATTTAAACACGTCCCCACATGTCTACGTCACTGTGTTGGAAGATTTGCATAACAGCACCCAAATTTTTACGCAAAGAAAGGCGGCGTAGCTTTTATTCTCGCTGTAGTATTGTTGCCGTCGCCACAATGTCTTGGAGACACTGTGTGTTTCCAAATATGGTAAGGGGCGTAACATTTCCGTCACACGCTTGATGTATTCGGCCAATCACAATACACTGGATATCTGGCCAATCAGAGCACACCGCCAAAGATTATATAAATACAAAGACAGATCACTCCTATATTTATGAATGGGAGAAACTGCAACACGCAATATGGCGGAAAAAATTAAAGTCTAAATGAAAGATGACTGGTAAAGTCATTGTCACACTGCAGCAGCCATTAGAAGCTCTGGTTCCCATAGAAACCTGAGGCTGGACCAGCCAATGTGCATGCGCAGCGATAAGCTCGTTGTAACTGTGCATGCACATTGGCTGGTCTACACTAAAAAATAAGCTTTTTTAATACTATTTGAGCATAAGAAACAACATTCATGGGGCAGTTCATTTCAAATTTGAAATATGTAATTTAATTGTGAGTTCATAGGGCAGTTTTTGAGATTTCAGGATTACCCCATTCATTTAGATAGGACTTTGTCTCTTGGTTTGAACTGCCCGGAGGCGTTGCAAATATGGCCGCAGAGTAAACAGACTTTCTTTGAAAGTAACTTTGACACTCATAGAGTCATTTCAAAACGATAAGCTTTGTAAAAATCGACGTGTTTCAGAAAGGTGGGCAAGAGAGGAGCAACCTCTCTTCGAACCTTAAACCACATAAACACATTGCATTACACCAAATACACAAAATAATGTTCTTTTTAGCAACGTCATATGCATCACCTTAAAATAAAAAAAAAAACGAGTGAACGAATGATACACGGATTAATTTGCAAGATGTTTCGCTTTTTTTTTTTTTTATTAGTCCTACAGAATTTGATTTTATTTTAGTACTAAATAAGCTGCATAATAGACATTTACAAATATTCCACAAGAAAAATAAATGAAATTGCTGAAAATAAAACATGTCTTTGTGGTCTTGGTACTTAGTATCATGTACTGCCTCCCTGAGTATCCATGACTGCTGCCAGCCTTTTTGAAATAATGTACAAGTCCTTCAATTGCCCTGAAGCTGGATCTCAACATCATTGAGCCACTGTGGGGAAGAATTCAACTTGCATGCAAGAACTTAAAGTACCCGGGGGCTTTTTTCAAAGAACAGATGGGCAAATTTAATGTTCAGGACAAACCAGGGACTTATTATGCACTGCTATCACAAAAGGCTGCAAGCAGATATTGATGCTTGAGGTGTCAACACTAGATAATAACCAGGGTATGTAAGAGTATGTATGTATTAAACAGGATAATGTGATTAATTAAGTGATTTTTTTGTCTTGTGGGATACAATATCATTCAAAATTTTGGGGCCAGTAAGATTTTTTTTTTTTTTAAAGAATTTAATACTTTTAATTATCAGTGAGGCATTAAAATGATCAAAGTGACAGTGATCATTTGTAATCTTACAAAATATTTATATTTAAAATAAACCCTGTTCTTTTGAAATCTCTGTTCACTAAATAATCCTGAAAAATAAAATGTATCATTGTTTTCACACAAAAAAAGAAGCAGCAAAAACTTTTTTAACATTGGTAAAAAATAAATTAATTGTAATAAATTGTAATATTTAATCAAATTTGAAATAAATTGTACAATTTCACAATATTACTGTGAAAATATTAATATTGACTTTTCAAAAACATTACAAAAATCTTACCAACCCCAAACTTTTAAACTGTAGCTTATACGTCAAATAGCTTCACCATGACTAAAATAACATTATGACAGTACTAAAAAAGGAAAGATAAACATATTCTGCAAGTCGTGGCATGTAAACATTTGAATAGTGCGAGAATGGAAAGAACAGATTTTAAGGTCAATCGTACCCTAGATGGTCCTCTGTAGAGAGTGCGGAAATGATCCCAGGCCTGAGTCTGCTGGGCATCCAGAGTGGCTTCAGTCAACATCTACAGAGAGAAAAACATACCAACGCAACAGATCAACACTGTCCCAGAACCAAAACACCCCTGACACTATACACCAGAGCCAGAGATAATCGGCCAGAGATAATCCTAAAGACAATTAAATATAACATTTTTGTGAAAATACATCAATGACATATATAAAAACATTAGAATGTCAATATGAAATATGAAGGGGCAAACCATGCTGCAAGATATGGACTTGATAAATAGCAAACTGCGCAACTTCTAAATAAACCCTTCAAGAATCAGAGGAGTGTTAATCGCATTGAATGACATTTTCATACACAAGCCTATGATGTGGGAAAGACAAGTGATTAAAAGTGACGGCTGTGACATTTAAAAAAAAAAAACATGACATCAACAGATATCAAGCAGGAAGAAAATAAGTTGCGAAATACTTTGAGATTTGCAATTAATTGTTTATGTGGTCATATACTACTTCTCGTGGCTGTATATGAATTTGAAGAATTTACATGGGTAAATATAAATTTTATCTATGATAATCCACATTTAATAACCATTGGCCCAGATTTACAGACAGGCCCTTCATACATAATGACACATTCACTTATTTAAAGACACATTCCAGTGTCCTTCACACCAATCAGAATCATTTCATCACTTGGTTTGGCTCAAATTGGCCTCCAGTGATCCAAAACCTCTCAGTCTCTGTCATCCAATGTCAATGACTTCTCCAGTCCCAAAGGCACGAAGTCAAGCACAAACCCTAAAGATCTGCCAAACTCCACCCAGAGACGCTTTTCAACAGAATGTTCCAGAATTAAATCAAGTGTATCCTTACTTTACCTCACTGGGTCTCTATATATAATCAGAGTCTGTTTTGAGTGGCACAAAGGACAAATGCTACTGTCACTGCAGAAGAATAAATGCAATTATTGCGCCCTCCCTTCAGCAGAAAGAAGGAGATGAACATTGTCACGCTGTTTCAGCAGTCTCCGTACGCAGGGCGCTGATTTGGAGGACGTCGATTTTGCGTGACAGTGTTGTGGGAAAGGTAGGATAATTTGGTGGTGTTCATTAAATCCGTTATTTACACACAACTTATTTAAATAAACCAATTACACACTTTTTGATAGCCCAATGTATTTCCTTGCTTAAAAAAAAAGTAAAAAGCCACTTTTCTTCACCTCGAGACATCAGGAGGAGCATTTCAGCCAACTAGACAAGATGTTGAAATCGTTTAGAGAACATCTGACCTACTTCTAAAGATCTGCCATTTTCTCTTTCTTCTCACTTAGGATCAGTCTCCTCTAGACCTGAAGTATCATGTTTTTTGTTTAGATTAAACCTAATGTTTCTTGTAGGTAGCTAGAAAAGGACTAAAAACAGCCTCAGAAAAATATATAATGCACACCGAGTCTGAAATTTTCGTATGCGTTTTTCGTATTCGTCATCCTTTCCTATCAAAATGCAGAAAATCGAACCTGGTCCGTTTTTTTTTAATGACGGACGAAAGTTTCGGAGGCAGTGTTTAAACGTGATTGACACAACGCAAGGTCGTATTTATTTTTCAACGTGTGAAAATTTCGGACTCAGTGTGCATGTAGATAGGCACGTTTTTTTCCAATGAGCATGTGTTGCTAAATGGTTAGTTCACCCAAAAATGAAAATTAGCTTGTGTTTTACTCACCCTCGAATTATCCTAGGTGTACACGACTTTCTTCTTTCAGACGAATCCTGTCGGAGTTATATTAAAAATTGTCCTGGCTATTCCAAGCTCTATCATTGCAGTCAGCGGGTGTTGCAAAGAAGAATGTCGGAGGATTTTGATATAAACCAATATAAAATAAATATAAATAAAATACAAATAAATAAAACAAAGATATTTATATATATTATATTTACTTCTAAAGTCACAGTTTTTTTAGGTACAACAATATATCTGAATTACTTTTATTTGGGGACTTTTCTAAGCAATTAATTGTGATTAATCCAATTACTTAATCTGCATGTCATGTAATTGTTTTTATTCTTTTTTTAATACCTGAATATGTATTTTTCTTTCATGTATGACATGTTTGTATGGGTATGAGTACATCCAAGCATTAGATCACTCGCACCCAAAGCAGTTATTGTAAATTAAATGATCACAGATAATAGATTTGATGTACTCTGCTTGACTGAAACCTGGCTAAAACCAAATGATTATATTGGTCTAAATGAGTCTACTCCACCAAGCTACTATAAGCATGAGCCCCGTCAGACTGGTCGTGGCGGCGGTGTTGCAACAATATATAGTGATATTCTCAATGTTACTAATGTGGTTTAACTCATTCAAAATACTTCTGCTTAATGTTACACTATCAGATATGCAAAAGAAATCTATCGTATTTCTTGCTCTGGCTACTGTGTATAGACCACCAGGGCCGTATACAGATTTCTTAAAAGAATTTGCAGATTTCCTCTCAGACCTATTGGTTACTGTTGATAAAGCGCTAATTGTCGGAGATTTTAACATTCACGTTGATAATACAAATGATGCATTA